AACATAGAAACCACAACACCCAAAGAAAGCCCTTGCCCTATTACAAAAGTCCACTATTATTTAAGAAAAGCCTTGCAGTAAAAAAAGAAGTTTTGTTATAGATGAGTCAAAAGCTAAAATGTCCTGTCATACCCAAAATCAAGCACAAACTAAAATGAAAGATAAAGGTCCCAAAAAAGACAATCACACTTGCTGTTAATACATACTGTAGTTTTAATAAGGACTTTTGGGTTTAGTGATCCTATGAACAGTGGGGTTAGGGTACTCAAGGAAAAGTTCTCCAGCCCTGCAATTCATAAAGTAAAGCACAATTACTCCATATATAATTATATATCTATGCCCTTAGCAGCTGATGAACAGAGAAACTGTGGTTGCTTTGGCACATTTTAGAGTGAAGGGCTGGGAATCTGGGTTTTCTGACTCCTGCCGCCCCCCCCCCCCCCCCCCATTAATGACTGCAGTGAATCCCTTGGCCAGGGTTTAAGGCTGCACAGGGACTTTAGGGTGGGAGCCAAATTTTGCCCACTGCAAATTTGACAGACCTTAGTGAATGTGGTGAAGCTTCACTTTGTAAAAAATACCAAATCAGGTGCAAGGAAATGGAAATCAACAGAGCTTCACCTCATTCACTAAGCTCTAGGGAAAATGAGTGCAACTGCACAAAGTGCACAGTCTATTTGCCTTTAGAAAAAATCAACCCCGCTGCCTGTTTGATGCAAATTTGAATCCTGGAAATGTTACACAAATTCATTATCAAACAAATCTGAATCTCATCCCCAGATATTAAGATAGGATATGCCATTTCTTATTGTGGGGAGAGCATCCCAGTAAGAAATCCCCTCTTGGGTTCAAACCCTAGACCTTTGATAGTTAAAGTGTTACTAAACCCAGGAACCTGTATTCACTATATCTGGTCTCCCACAGTACACACAACATGGAAATGCTATTATTTTAGTAAATATAAATTGCTAAATACATTTTCTCATCAGCAGATAGAGCAGTCTTGTGACTTCAGCAGAGCACTGGTTAAAGCTTGTAGGAGGAGTTTTCTTTCCGCTATAGGAGGATGTGAAACCTCTGACCCTCTGTCTGTACAGTGCTGATTAGCCTTGTGCTGATCACATGCACTCTCCCAAGAAAAAAAAAAACTCTACCAATACACACCAAACTGTGCATTTGACCATGGGTTCTGTCTGTATCAGGTGGTCATTTCAACAAGAGGAGGGACAGAGAATAAAGGATCAACAGCCTTTTTACAAAATTCAGAGGATTAACCCTTGGGTTCCACAGTGAGTATAACAAGCATGATTTACTGCATATACAGACTGATTATTATTTATTATTATTATTATTATTATACAGGATTTATATAGCGCTGCTTTATATAGTTTTATATAGTTTGCGCAGCGCTTTACAATATAAGGGATACAGTACAATTACAATACATTTCAGTACAGAAGGAATAGGAGGGCCCTGCTCGTGGAGCTTACAATTTAAAGGAAGGGGGCAATGATACAAAAGGTGATAGCTGCGGGGGATGATCTGGCGGAGGTGATTCAAGTACAGTTCTTAGGTGGAGGTGGGGTAGGCTTTCCTGAAGAAGTGAGTTTTCAAAGATCGCCTAACGGCAGACAGGATGGGGGCTGACCGGACATGCTGTGGTAGGGAGTTCCAGAGGATGGGAGAGGCTCTGGAGAAGTCCTGGAGGCAAGCGTGGGAGGAGATGATGAGGAAGCTAGAGAGGAGGATATCATGGGAGGAGCGTAGTGGGCGATTTGGGCGGTATCTGTGGATGAGGTTGGTGATGTAGCTAGGGGCAGTGCTGCGTATGGCTTTGTAAGCTGTTGTTAGTATTTAGAATTTTATATGTTGAGTTAGTGGAAGCCAGTGAAGGGATTGGCAGAGAGGGGCAGCAGTCGCTGATCGGTTGGTAAGGTGTATGAGTCTAGCAGCAGCATTCATAATAGACTGAAGGGGGGATAGCCTGTGTAGCTGTAGACCAATGAGGGGGGGTTGCATTAATCGAGGCGGGATATAACCAAGGCGCGGATAAGTTGTTTTGTGGTGTCATTGGTCAGGAAGGGGCGGGTTTTGGAAATGTTCCGGAGGTTGAGGTGGCAGGATTTAGCCAGTGAGTGGATGTGGGGCCCAAAGGAGAGGTCAGAGTCTAGGATTACACCTAGCACCCTGGCATGAGGGGAAGAACCAATGGTTGTGCTGTTGATCTTAATGGTAAGGTCGTGAGTGGGGGATCGGGGAGGAGGAAATATTACAAGGTCAGATTTTACTGCTATGGGTTTAGTAACACTTTATGTTCATTGTACTTGCCATAAGGGCAGCTGGAAACCAAAGTAGATGTTATTTACAGCTACTTATTAAATATGTAGTTTGACTTCTTATTTCGAAATGTGGTGATAACTCCTGATTTATCAGGGGGGAAATAGGTTTGGGAATATTTAACCCCTGGAATCTTTAAGGATAAAGCTTTATGTATCACTAAGGCATGAAAAAGGAATCTGTTGTAAAAAAAGCTACAATCTACCATTCTGAACTCTTCTTTTGGAAATACCTGGCTGTTATTCTGATATACGTAGAGCCTTACTGTCCATTACTTCATTGACCCAGAACATATTTGTAGATCAGAAATAAATATGTTTCTCAGACTTTATTTTCTGCAGTGATGCAGAATATATTAATGTATTAAATGTATTAGAAACAGAGACACGTAACTAGGCAACTAATATGTAACGTACCTCGTTGGGGAGCCTGATGTGGAGAGAGGGTGTCCTCTTACCACTCCCGCTTGGGACCCCTGATAGGGTAGACAGAAGGTATCGAGCTAGAAGAGGCACGAGTGCCTGACGGGTCTGCGGTGACGGCTGGCAGGTGATGACCCGGAGGACCAGAATGCAGGTTGGTTGCAGATGCAGGTGAGCAGGTGCAGCAGCAGGAAGGTATAGCGGAGATGCGGACAACCATGGCAGCTGGCAGCCAGGAATAGTCACAGGCAGGAGAGGTAGAAGCATCAGGATCAATCAGCCGAATCAGGTACAGAGGAGCAGGCAAGTAGATAGTCAAGGGGTGAGCCGGGTCGGTGTAGGCAGAGTTCAATCGTAGTCAGGTCAAGCAGGTAGATAACAGGAGTCAGGATACAGGCACAGAACATAATAGACCAGAAGGCACCATTCTAAGTGCAGCAGATGTTTAAATATCCCGCTTGTGCACTTCACCGTGTGCACACATGCGCATTCGTGTGAGCGCAATCATGTGCGCATGCACACTGGCATGGCCAACGGGCACTTGGCGCTGGCACATAGATGCAAAACTCTTTTTCCCTGACATTGTATTTTTAGAAGGAGATCAGCAATGGCAGCTTCCATAATTGTTCCAAGATAGCAGTAGTTGTTTGCTTTCACAGTATCTCTTGCTAAGCAAAATTCATAAAAATGAAGAAAGGGAGAGCCATGTTGTGATTCCTTGATGAAATGTTGTCATGTATTTTTATTTTCTTATTTAAACATATTGATGTTATTCTTATGTTTTACCTGTGTTAACATATCCGTGTTTAGCAGTCTGAATGAGCGATGCACTAGCTTTTTAACTGCTGCTGTAATATGTGCAGCCTTGTTCTGTCTCTGTTTCTCCTACCTGCTGTTAGAGCAGAGCAATGATTTTTCATCCTAAGGAGAAGGCATAGGTTGGTGTGCAAACAAACTGTCAATGCATGAGATTGATTGGCAAAGTCTCTACAAAATAATATTATTGACTATTGGTATCTAGAACTTATACATGAACAGCTGGTGCCATTTTGACAGCTGGAAGCTGAAGAGGAGAGAGCTAAAAAGCATTTGGAGTACTGGGTTTTAAGAGGCACAATGGGGGGGGGGGGGGGGGGGGGGGTGGTACAAGAACTGGACATAGGGAGAGAGCTTTCCCCCATTAGAATAAGTGATAGTGGGGGGTTAACTAGGTTAAATTATTTTTCTAATACAAGTCTTAATTTCAACATGAAGCTAAAAAGTGAAGGTAAGGCTGGTTGAACTGACAACTAGATGAGGCCTTAAAAGATCGTTTAGGCTGTTATAAAACATGCAAGTAAGTTCCTGTTACATATTACTAAAAACTACATTCTTTCTACCAACTACGGAACTAAATTCTGCTCTGCTTATAAATTATTTCATAGAGTTGCTATACTTAAGACAAACAGGATGTTCACTTTGCAAGAATTTTCTCTTAGCTTAGTTCATATGGTAAAAAGTTACTTTGCAAAGAATACCAAGTCATGTTCAAGGAAAATAAAAACATTGGATCATAGAAGTCATTAAAGCTTTACCTTATTAACCACTTGCCTGCCGGGCACTTATACCCCCTTCTTTACCAGGCCAATTTTCAGCTTTCAGCACTGTCACACTTTGATTGACAATTGCGCGGTTATGCAAGATCGTACCCATATGAAATTTATATAATTTTTTTTCTCACAAATAGAGCTTTCTTTATGTGGTATTTAATCGCCGCTGAGTGTTTTACTTTTTGCACTATAAACAAAAAAAGTGCAAAAAATTTTAAAAAAAGTTTCTTTGTTTCTATTATAAAATTTTGAAAACTGGTAATTTTTCTCCTTCACTGATGTGCGTTGATGAGGCAGCACTGATGGGCACTGATAGGCACCACTGATGGGCACTGATAGGCAGCACTGTTGGGCACTGATAGGCAGCACTGAAGGGCACTGATGGGCGGCACTGATAGGCAGCACTAATGAGGTGGCACGGATAGGCGGCACTGATAGGTGGCACTGATAGATGGGTACTGATAGGTGGCACTGACTGGCATCACTGCTGGGCACTGACTGGCGGCACTGCTAGGCATTGGCTGGTGCAACTGCTGGGCACTGGCTGGCACAACCTCCGGACACTGACTGGTGGCACTGACTGGCAGCACTGCTGGGCTGCACTGATGGGCACTGGTGGTCACAGGTAGGTGGCACTTCTGGGTGGCACTGCTGGGCACAGGTGTGTGGCACTGCTGGGTGGCACTGGTGGGCACTGCTGGGCACAGGTGGATGCACTGCTGGGCACAGGTGGGTGCACAGCTGGGCACAAGTGTGCGGAACTGGTGGGTGGCACTGCTGGGATCTGATCATCAGGGCACTGATCATCAGTGCCCTGATGATCGGTGCCGATCCCTACTCTAACAACTGCCGGTTCTCGGCAGTACTTTCCTGACGATCTGACAGTGTGAGGAAAGTGCAGCCGAGAACCGGCAATTGCATTTCCCTGTGATCAGCATGTCATTGGACACGTCTGATCATGTGGTAAATGGCCGCTGAGATTGGCCGTTTACCACATCCCGTGATCAGCTGTGTCTGTAGGACACCGATCACGGAGATCGCCGGGTGCGCGCCCCACAGGAGAGCGCGTTTTGGGAGGATGTCATATGACGCCCTCCCAGAACTGTCCGGCTGCAGTGTAGCCGTCATTCGGCTATCTGCGGTCGGCAACTGGTTAATTAAGCTAAGGGAAAATTCCCTTGCAGAGTGACCAGCCTATTTGCCTTTAGAATTTGAAGTGTCAAAGAAGACTGGGACGCAAAATAAAGTTTATTTATTTGGTCAAAAAAATAAATATTTTGGCCAACAAAGTTGAAGCATTAATAAACATGTTGGATATATTCATTAGGTTACTATATACCACTTAACACCTTAACGCCTTGGAGAAATTCTAATATAATAACTTATTCAATTATATAAGTGCATGTGTATGTATAAACAGACCAATAATATACCAAAAAATTAGTAGACGTGAGGTGTTTGCTGCAGCCTCCTTAGCCACTTCAATATCCGGCACTTTTACCCCCTTCCTGACCAAGCCAATTTTCAGCTTTCAGCGCTCTCACACGCTAAATGACAACAGCAACACTGTACACAAACAAAATTTTTATGATTTTGTTCAGACAACTAGATTTATTTTGGTGGTAATAATCACCGCTATGTTTTTTTAATCTTTTGCTAAATAAACGATAAAAGTCCAAAATATTTGAAAAACAAGTATTTCTTCATTTCTGTTATATAATATTGCAAATAAATAATTGTTCTTCGTAAATTTAGGCCAAAATTTATACTGCTACATTTCTTCGGTGAAAATAACCCAAATCAGTGCATCTGTATTTAGTCTGGAGAAAAGTAATAGAGGCCACAAACTATGGTATATATATATAAAAATTGACAAATCCTGAAGTACTGACGGCCTATCTCATTTCTTGAGGCCCAAAAATGTCAGAACAGTACAGATATTGCTCAAATGAATCCTTTTTTTGGAAAGTAGACAGCCTGAGGTATTTCACATTTTCACAAATTTTTTAATTACATACCGTCACTATTGCAGTACAGCCTCATCATATAACTGTGTGTGGTGGTGATCAGGGACACTGACTGGTAACAGTACAAAAAAAGAAAAATCTTTTTTTATAATTACATTTTTTCTTTTCTTTGATTTTATTTATAACACACTGTGACCAGCATAATATAATGTTACCATAGTAACATTGTACTACTCTGGGGAAGTGATCAGTATTTTTATTTCATTGCTATAAGGAAGCTTTTTACTGAATGAAATAGGTTAATTCAGTTTGTTTTGTTGTGTGTGTTAACTGTGGCCAAAGCTAATCACATGACACAGATGGGCTCTGATTTGCCTAGTCTGTACCAAGTGAACACTGTGACCAATAAAAGCTAGCAACACAACTGTATACAATGGATGGCAAGAAAGGAAGCCATACATTGTTTACAATTGTCATGTGACCTGCTGTGATTGGTCACAGTGGTCACATGGTACTGGCAACAGACCGGTACACAGATCAGTATACAGCTGTGTCTGATGGATACAGCCAGTGACAGATCTTGCCATAGCGCTGCCTAGCCTGCGCGTGCGAGGCGGCGATCTGGAAGGACGTCATGTGAAGTCCACCTGGATTGATGAAAGTCTTGCTCGGCCTTCATTTTACTTTAGGCCAGGTGGGAACTGGTTAATAATAAAGCAAATTTGTCAAACAGAAAAATCAAAAAGTGTCCACAGATTCCAGAAGGTGCGAAATCATTGGTAAATATCTGATTTGCAGTCTTAAAAATATCAAGTTCATATAATGTCCCAAATAGTTCCCCAGATTAAAAGCAGTATCTCAATAGTGCAGATAGAACAAAATAGTGTAGATGCCACACTCCAATCCACCACAAGTGCTCCACTATTTCTACTGTGAATCTTACTCATCAAATTGTTATACCTCACATATAAATGATCTGTATAAATCACTTTGACTGCACCACTTCTTCTGATGGTCCTTCAAAAGTACTTGCATTCAATATTATTCCATCCGGTGGCCTAACACTTGGATCTCATCAATCAGGACTCCTCTTTCCAACCTGCCACCTTCCGAAGCATATTATGGAGTTCCTAGCCAGCAGAAGAACACCAAAGTGACATGGGGATGGAGAGGAGGCAGAGTTTGCAGTGCTCACACACTCAGCACAGAATTTCCAGGAAAGAAAGTTACTAGCCATGGTGGATAATTAGCAATGATCTAGCACCTCTTGGAATCTATGAGCATTTTTGATTTCCTGTTTGACGTATTCATTAGGTTGCTGTTAAATTTTCAATACCCCTTTCTGTCTAGAATCCTTTTCTGAAAGATACCAACCTGATTATAATATTCATATTATTATATTATTATTATTATTATACAGGATTTATATCTTTAAATAGCATACATGTCATACTTATCTGCACTGTGCAATCCTCTTCTTGGGTCCCCCGCCAGTTTTCCTGGTTCCTCCTCTCTTGTTGGTGCCCCCAATAGGATGCTGATTCCCATTGGGGCACTCATGCAAAGGCACTCCTGAGTCCAATGACACAGGCAGCAGGATTTGGCCCTGCCACCTACTCCCTCATTCTTGGAGTTGATTGACAGGGGCAGGAGCCAATGGCTCCCACTGTTATTGATCTGCCCAGTGAGGAGGGACAAAGCCAGAAGAGTTGCAGCTCTCGCACACAGTGCTGACTCTTGATGGGGCTTGGGTAAGTATAAGGGGAGTGAGGGGGCCACTTTGTGACACAGAAAATTTTTTTACCTTAATGCATAGAATGCATTAGGTAAAAAGGACTTGAGGCTTTAGAACCGCTTTAAGGTCATCACAGAGGACAAGGGGCACTCTTTTCATCTGGAGGAAAAGAGATGTAATCTCCAAATACGGAAAAATGTCTTCACAGTAAGAGCTGTGAAAACATGGAATAGACTCCCTCAAGAGCTTGTTCTGGCACTCTCAGTAGATTGTTTAAAAAAAGGCCTGTATTCTTTCCTAAATGCACTTAATATAACTGGATACCAATATTTACAGGTAAAGTTGATCCAAGGAATATCTGATTGCTTCTTGGGGGATCGAGAATTAAATTCTTTCCCCTGCTGGAGCAAATTGGTTCATGATTTTTTTAGGTCTTTTTGTCTTTCTACGGATCAACTATGGGTATAGGATAGTGTATACAGAGGTTTTCTATTTGTGTGTAGGCCTTTTTTTTCTCTGTCGATTGAACTGGATAGACTTGTGTCTTTCTTCAACCAGATTAACTATGTTAACTATGTAATAATTTACAAATTATTATTTTTTTTTTTTTTTTAATTTTGCTTTTTTTTTTTCATTTCAAATGTGTAAATATATGTTAGATGTGTATAAGTATTAACAAACAAACCAAAAATAGTTAAGTATTGTTGGCTGAGAAACAAACACAAAAAAATCAACAGGAAAATAATAATAGTTGAAGGGAAAAGGAGAGTAAGGAGTTAATTAGGGATGATTAGAGTAAACTAAAGGTTAATAAGGAGTTATATAGAGAAACATTTAAAAAAAAAAAAAAAGTTGTTTGTTTTTTTGCCAGTTTGCTGTAACTGACATCATTTTCAGATCTAAGCTTATCCTTTTGGTCTGCAGATGAATGAACAGAATGATTCAAAAGTAACATTATGTTAATTTGTATATTTCTATATTCACATCTGAGCATTGTTGTTTCAAAACACCAATTCCTAGTTTTTTTTGACAGCTGCAGCTGCTCTTCTCACTACTTAGCAAATCCATGACAATTTGGTTGAAATATTAAGGTGTAACTAATAACTTCCCTTTTTAAAAAGACAGATTTATTTCTAAAAATGAAAAAAAAAAAAATAGTGGGGTTCCTCTTAATTTTCTAACAGACCCTTATCCAAGCATACAGTTTAAGTGGCCAGGCAGTGGCCAGGCCGTGGGAGTGCATCCTCCCTTTTTGTACCATATCACGCAACATACCTTTCAACACTGGGGATACCTTGCAAAGGGGTGGCAGAGCCTTCCCGCCTTGCAAGGCACCTTTTCTCAATGTTGAGGGACAAGGGCCTCTTTTCCACTTCCTATCCTTTAAAAAGGACATGAGGGTTATAGAAACATGATGAGGCCTCCTTTATAATGCCCCCCCCCCCCGAAAGATTCCCTAGATATCTGCCCCTTTCAAGAGAATGAATACAGTGGTACATGAGTACCCTTTATTCCTCGTTCCCCAAAACATATAGATGTTAACAAACAGCCTGGTGCTTTAGAAATGCCCTTTAATAATAACACATATATAAGTACATAAAGTTGTGCTCTTTCCCACATCCTGTCCCCCAAAAAGGACATTGGGGGTTATTAGGGGAATTTATCATTATAATTTATAAAAAAGGGGCCCCCAGATATCTGCCCCTTCCAGTGGGATGAGTACAGGGGTACAATAATACCCCGTATTACTCATTCCCCCCAAAAATGTAAATGTTAAAAAAACATACTGACACCCTAAAAAAGTTCTTTAATAATAGTATATAAATAAATACAATAAAAAACTTTTTTTTTCCATTGCCAAAAAGCACAGAGAAGAGGATCCTGGGTGAAGTCATTGGCCATACATGGTCATCATGATTAACAAGGATGTACATGGCAATTGAAATTGGATGAAACTGAACATGGTTTTACATTAGGAGACATTCTTGACTTTTTTTATTTTATTGTATTTAATTCTGCATTGTTATTAATTGACTTTTTCAAAAGGTGCTTGAGTACCTATATACTGGACATTTCATTTTTTGAGCATGTGTCTCTGATGCAAATAGTTGAGGATTTCTGGGTTCCTCCTCTTAATATTGTAATAACAGTGCTGGTGGTGAAACTACCTCTACAGTTGATCACAGGTTTTCTCCATAATCACTCTCTATATGAACATGACCACTGCTAGTCATAGCAAAGATGGAAATTACCTATAAGAAAAAAATGCAAAAACAAAATGCAATGTATTAATGTCTCAAACACAAAATTGTCTATGTTCACATACACAGACCTGC